GCCGTAGGCTCGCAGGGTTCGAGCCCAGCCCGTCCGCCCAGCGATCTCGCGAGACCCCGCCTCTGTGAAAGCCCCAGCAGCGCCCGGCTCCGCTCCGAGAGACCGGCTCCTTCGCGGTTGCACGCTCTGCTCCCGCTGTGGCGGGTGGTGGGGGGCGCAGGGAGAGGGGCCCCGGTCGGAGCGGACGGGGGCGGCTGGGACAGGCGGCGGGCGCTGGGTCTGCGCGGTGCTCTCGCGGGGCCTGCCGCGGAGCCCGGTGTTGGCTGGGCATCTTTTCTTTTCCTTCCTTCCTTTCACCTTAGTTGCCCTTCTCATTTGAACATTTTCTTCCCGTTTCACAGTATCTGTTATACATTTTGGCGCTTATTTACACTTCAGTTTCTCACACAAACAATACAGTCCTTGCACATGCGTCCACTTCACTTAACACTGTGGTCTAAAGGTCCAGCCATGTACCTAGAAAAGTCTCAGGATTATCCTGTTCGTGGTCCATTGTATAAAAAAAGCTGCATCGTCCTTACCCATCACCAGTTCATGGGTATTCGGGCTGTTTCCCAGATTTGGCATTACAAACTGTGCTGCTATAAACATACGTGTGCGTATATCATGGTGGTTTGATGTTTTTAATTTTTAGGGGGCGGTGGGGCAGTACCAAGGGGAATAGCTGGGTCTAAAGGAACCTCTGGTTTTAGGGAAGTTTTGTTTTTGAGCCAGGGTCTCACTGGGTAGTCCAGACTGGCTTCAAACTCACAGTGATCCTCCTGCCTCAGCCTCTTCAGTGCTCGGATTAAGGGTGTGCGCCACTGTGCCCGGCTAATTTTAGTTTTTTGAGGAATCTCCGTACTGATTTCCACAGTGGTTGCACCAGTCAAAACTCCCACTAGCAATGGAAAAGGGTTCCTTTTCCCCACAGCTCTGCCAGCATTTGTTATTGGTTGATTTCTTGATGACAACCATTCTTTCTGGAGTGAGATGGAATCTCAGCATTAATTTGCATCTCTAATAATCAGTGATATTAAACGTTTTTTCACATATTTGTCGTTTCTACTTTTCATCTAAGAAGTGTCTATTTATTCCACATGCCCAGTTTTGGATTAAAAATCCATTTTAAAAGTTTCATTTTAGCCAGATATGGTAGCATATGCCTGTAATCCCAGCACTTGGGAGGCTGAGGCAAGAGGATCGCTGTGAGTTCGAGGTCAGCCTGGGCCACATAGCGCAATCTTGTTTCAAAAAGTTTTATTTTGTCATTAAATAATGCCCAAAAGGTGGAGCAGAAGAGAGCTTGGTTGTTAAAAAGATTAGCATGGTGCACTGTTCGCCGCCGCCTCCACAGAGGAATCGGAAAGTATGGGTATCAAGTACAGACAGAGCTGAGTACTGAACTGGTCCTAAAATCCTGCAACATGCAGGCCTGTAATCCGGTTCTTGGGAAGGCTGAGGCAAGAGGGTCACAAGTTTGAGCCCAGGCTGGGCAACTTGTCTAAAACGCAAGCAAACAAACATGTACATCAAGTCACAGCCTTGCTGTGTGCAGACACCTCCAGATGGCTTCCAATCTCCTGTGAAATGGAGCCCTGCAAGAGCCTGTGATGCCGTCAGCAGCCTAGCTTACTCCCCACATCCGCCTTCCATTTCAGGAGTCCTGGGTGAGAGCTGTTTAAAACAACGATTATTAGCACACCTTTGTGCTACACGGTAACCACCTTCAGCGTGGGGATTGCCGCCTCCCTCCCTGCAACTACAGAGTCTGCCTCCCTTTCTTTCTTTTGCTTTTACTTTTTGCTTGGTTTTTTGTTTTGTTTTGTTCTGAGACAGGGTCTTGCTATGTAG